CCCTCACTCATCCGTGTGTGTGTGGCTGTGTGTGTCTCTCAAAAATAAATAAAAACATTTCAAAAATTTTTTTAGAAAGAAGTATGTTGTTTTACTTCCAAATCATTTTGGCTTTTCCAGATATCTATGGTTTTTGGCTTCTACTTCCTTTTGAGATTTTCACAGATTTTTGTGTTTCTCTGCTGAGATTTACCTGTCCTTTCTCTAGGGATATATTTTCCTTTAGTCCCTTGAGCACAGTGAAAAGAGTTGCATTCCCATGCATATCTGCAGATTCTAATATCTGGGGCATCTCCAGGACAGTTTCTTGATCGTTGTAATTTTTTTTAATGTTTATTTTATTTTTGGGCGAGCACAAGCGGGGGAGGGGCCAAGAGAGGGGGACAGAGGATCCGAAGAGGGCTCTGCGAGGACACCAGTGAGCCCGATGTGGGGCTTGAACTCACGAACCGTGAGATCATGACCTGAGCTGAAGGTGGGTACTTAACCGACTGAGCATACAGGTGCCCCATAGGCTCATCTTTTGAGGAGGGGCCGTGTTCTGCTACTTCTTCGTATGCTGCTCATGTCTCATCCCCCTGGCTGTTATGCTCTGCAGAGCAGATTCTTCTGAAAAGTACTGATTGTTTTTCATATTGGTTTTCGCACACAATGAACGTGGCCGGCTCAGATGCCAAACTCCCCCTCCTCTGAAGTGAGCAGCGGGTCCATTTCAGTTCAGTGCCTCTGCCTCTCCCAGTGGACATTCGTGGTTCAGAGGTCAGCCAAACATTTGCGCAGAACATACACACAGAGTTGGGGGGTCTCACTCTCTAGCCCTTTCTTCTCTGTGATGTCCTTTGCCCCCTCTCCCGTGGCTGTGGTTGTCCTAACCTCAGCCCTCTGGTTTTTCCAGACCCAAAACTGGTGACTTTGCTACTGGAATTTCAGCTGCCCCTCGTGACCGGGTCCTGCCCGGAGGCCAAAGCCATAAAAGTAGGAATCCCACTGTTCAGCCATCCTTCTTTTTCAGACGCCCGGCCCCTTCCAGTGTTTACCATCTTCTGGTAACTGAGCAGTGCCCACAGGAAGGTTTTTGGGTTCGGTTTTAGTATTTGTTCCAGGGTTTATATACAGTTCACCAGAGCTTACTCAAACATTCCTGAGAAGTGAAACCCACTTAAGTTATCTTCTCCATAGTAAATAATTCAGTACTTGGCAACCTGGCAGAACAGGAACTGGAAAGTTCTCTTACCAATCCATTCAAGCCACGTGACTCAGGATCACCGATCAGTAAAAGGCTAGGTGAGGCAGGAGAGACGGACATGGTGTAGTTTGGTCACTGGCTCCCTGCCATCCCAGACCAGCCTGAGGACTTCCCTTCTGGAGAGTTGAGCAGAAAATGTGAACTCCATTACACACAAGGAGAGATGTGTGCTTTGGTGACTCCACACAAATCATCAGCCCCGGAGGCCACCCCATCTCTCCGGTGCTTTCTTCTGTAGTCACGAGAGATGTGACAATGCTGTTTGTAAAGCTACTTGCTTTTACAGAATTAAAAGAGGGACAAGGTACCTCCTTTGTCAGGAGAAGCCATTTCATTTTGAGAAATTTCCAACCATGCCGCTGGTTAAGAAGATGTTAAGAAGTTGGGCTGACCTCCGATGGGCCCGGATCAGGGGAAGATGAGAACCAAGCAGCAGACTTGGGGATCACCTGTACAATACGAGGGGTGCACACAAGGCTCCTGTCCCAAACTACATGCACCTTCAACTCGTCACATGACAGGAAGTCCCAGACTTTTGTACAATTTCTAACGTTATTCTAAACTACAAGCCTCTTCCAGAAAGAGACTATTTATTAGTCATGTTTCCACCCTAGGATCTGGCATCTGTCACAGGGCCTGCCTTACATCACAGGTCATCAAGCCCTTTGGTATTGAATCAGATGTAAACTCCTACTTTCTAAATGTCAAAAAAAAAAAAAAAGAAAGAAAGAAAAAGGAAAAGCATGGACAGAATGAAAAGCTAAAAAGTACAATGGATTGGGCACCTGGTTGGCTCAGTTGGTTATGCCTCCAACTTTTGATTTCGGTCCAGGTCATGATCTCATCATTTGTGAGATTGAGCCCCACATCGGGCTCTGCACTGACAGTGGGAAGCCTGCTTGGGATTCTCCCTCTCCCTCTGCCCCTCCTCTGCTTGTGCATTCTCTCTATCTTTCTCTCTCTTTATTTTTTTATTTATAGTGTTTGTTTATTTATTTTTTTATTTATTTTTATTCATTTATTTATTTATTTTTTTTATATTAGATAAAAATATATTTATTATATAAAATATAAAATATTTTATAAATATTTTATAAAATAATTATTTATTTATTTTATTTTTATTTATTTATTATTTATATATTTTATATTTTATATAGTTTTAAATATATTTTTATAGATTTATTTATTTATTTATTTATTTATAGTGTTTGTTTATTTTTGAGAGAGCACAAACAGAGGATGGGGCAGAGAGGTGGGGGCAGAGGATCTGAAGCTGGCTCTACACTGACAGCAGCCAGCCCCAAGGCAGGGCTTGAACTCATGAACCACGAGGTCATGACTTGAGCTGAAGTTGGATAATCAACGCACTGAGCCACCCAGGCACCCCTAAATAAGTAAATTTTTTTAAAAAGGAAGAAAAAAAAAAGCACAATGGGTTGACAAGACTAAGAAATGCTCCTAAAATCCACAAGAAAAACATTATTATTCCAAGCAGAAAAATGAACAAAAGCCACAAACGCTTTGAAAATAAGAAGCACAAGGGGACAGGAAACATAACATAACGAAGGCCTATGTATTCCTCTTTAGGCATCTAAGGAATACAAAAGCAACCAACCGTATGTAACATTTTCAGCCATTTCCCTGAGGTGTTTGGAGCCATGACCTGACTTTACCTAAAACAGGACACACTTGAGACCCCCTTCGTCACTCCTCCCATCCCTAAGTAAGTAAGTGAGAAACCCGGCTACCATCTCCAAACGCAAGGCGGGAGAGCCTAGGTCTGGCTCCGGCTCGGGCCTCCTTCCTGCCTCCCGGCTTTATTACCACAGAGAAGGCCATTTCACCAGTCTGAGCTTCAGTGTCCTCCTCTGTAGGGTGGGGGTGGCCGTGCCCGGCAGACAGCCACAGATGGAGGGAGCAGATGAGTGGCCCGGGCTAGCCCAGTGCCTGGCACCTGGCAGGTGACAAGGACGCTCTTACGAGGTACAGGCAGCCGCTCTGCACAGTCTCCCGTCTTCCTTCCCAAAACTTCACTCACCTCTTTCCACGAGAGCTCTGGCTCTTCAGTCGCTTTCCCTTTCTGCTCCTTGTCCTTCTAGTCTCCCGATTTCCAAAACCTCCCTAACAACAGAGCATTGAATCAATGTGACTCAGCGCAGTTTTCTCAGCTCTTCCTCTCCTACAGAATACTTAAGTTATTTCCACGTGTTTGCCTATATAGGAAGTTCTGTAAAAGAAACTCCTGAATGAGGCGGCTTTCTTCTCTGAGAGTTAATCCTCTGTGTTAGCGAGCGTGTCGGCCAGCCTGACGCCGTCTTGGACAAATCCGCCATGGTGACCGCTCTGTGACTTAGGGCCTCTTTGAGCACAATCCCCCCACCAACCCCCCTCCCACACCACCATTACCATTCTTTCTCTTTTGTTTAACCATGGGCATAATAAAGAACCTTTAAGTATACACCTGGGGCATAACGGGCCATGATCTGCTCTGGAGATAAGACTATGACACACAAATATTCTCAAACATCTCCTCCCAGTGGTCTCCCAGGATGTACTCCTCAGCCTCTAGGGCTATAAACTCAAGCCTTACGGGAGGTGCAGTGCAAAGATCTACTCACCTTGCAGTCATCTAAGACACACTTCTGTCCGTAAGCCCCTTTAATAAACCATTTCTTGGCAAACTGGACTTGTCAGCTTTTTGTTTTGCCTCCTGGCTCCTTTGACCCTTAGAGGTCACTTTGCCTTTACTTTCTTTCACAAGAACATCTGTGTTAGTGACGATTTGGTCTCCCAGAGTCTCCATGTTCATCGCAGTCTTGAGATTATTTCCTACCTGAGTTCACATGAGAGATGTTTCCTCCTTTGTTTTCAGACCTGTTCCAAGAGACAGCAAGTCTCCTGAAACAATCCTGCCATCAGGATTTATGGAAGGAAGGAGAGGAGGGAGCAGAGTAAGAAAGAAAGGAAGAGAGGGAGAGAGGAAGAGACAGAGGGAGGAAGGCGGGCAGGCAGAGTAAATGCTCACTTAGATACTTGGTCAATAAATGAAGGAACAACGTGGGGATCGTTAGCTCTGTTTTATACTTGAGAACCTTAGGTTCAGGAAGGTTAGATAGCTTGCCCATAAATAGGGTAACGGGGCCCAAATTTGACCTCAGTTCTTTGAATCTGGCTCCACGGTTCTTTCTCATACACCTACTGGGAGACTGGTCTAGCTTAGTGTTACTCAAATGCCAGGCTTCAGGAGAAAGGGGGTTTATGACAGAGTAAATGGATGTGAATGAAAGCACCACTTCCTCCATCAAGAGAGCCTTGCTAAGAAAAATATAATGCTTCCCAAACTATACAGTTTGCTCAGTGACTTCATGTTCGGGCACAAGTTCTTAGCCTCATTACAAATAGTTCATGATGGGTAGCTGGATCATGGACCACACTCTTTTTTTTTTTTTTATACTCTTATTTATTTTTGAGAGATAGAGAGACAGAGCATGGGCAGGGTAAGTGCGGAGAGAGAGGGAGACACAGAATCTGAAGCAGGCTCCAGGCTCCGAGCTGTCAGCACAGAGCCTGACGCAGGCTCAAACCGTAAACTGTGAGATCTTGACCTGAGCTGAAGTCAGATGCTCAACCAACTGAGCCACCCAGGTGCCCTTGGACCACACTTTTATATATACATATCGATATACACACAGGGTCCTATCGATCCTAGCCTAACCAAGTGGTTTGAAACTCCACATCTCTATCATTTCAGATGTTCTCCATGTCTAGATGGAGCCCACAGGCATCCCAGAGTCCACCACTCTGTTTGATTATGACCATGAGAGCTTTCTGTGTGAGAACAAGAACTTCACCTTTGCCACCTTCAGCACCACTATCCTGTACTTGCTGGTGTTCTTCCTCAGCCTGGTGGGCAACAGCCTGGTGTTGTGGGTCCTGGTGAAGTACGAGAGCCTGGAATCCCTCACCAATGTTTTCATCCTCAACCTGTGCCTCTCAGACCTGACATTTTCCTGCTTGTTGCCGGTGTGGGCCCTGGAGTATCACTGGGGATGGGTGCTGGGGGACTTCTCCTGCAAGCTCTTCACCATGATCTTCTCCATCAGCCTCTACAGCAGCATCTTCTTCTTGACCATCATGACGGTCCACCGCTACATTTCGGTGGTGAGGCCCCTCTCGTCCATGCGTGTTCACACCCTCCAGTGCCGCGTGCTGGCCACCATAGCCGTGTGGGCAACCAGCATCCTGTTCTCCGTCACTGATACCATCTTCCACAAGGTTTTTCAGTCTCCTTCGTACTGTGACTACTTGGAACTCAGGTAGTTCCTAGCCTCAGTCTACCAGCACAACATCATCTTCCTGCTCTCCGTGGCCATCATCCTGTTCTGCTATGTGGAGATTCTCAGGACCCTCTTCCGCTCACGGTCCAAACGGCACCACCGGACAGTCCGGCTCATCTTCACCATCGTGACAGCATACTTCCTCAGCTGGGCTCCCTACAACCTGATCCTGTTTCTGCAGACACTGCTGAAACTCAGGGTCATCCAAAGCTGCATGTTCAGCCAGCAGCTGGGTTACGCCTTGCTCATCTGCCGCGGCATCGCCTTCTCCCACTGCTGCTTCAACCCCGTGCTCTACGTGTTTGTCGGGGTCAAGTTCCGCAGGCATCTCAAAAGTCTGTTCCGGCACTTCTGGCTCTGCCGGCAGCAGGTGTCCAGTGGCCCCCCTCACACACCAGGCCCCTACAACTACGAGGGCGCCTCCTTCTTTTGAAAGGGAGTTTGGTGGTGCAGGAAGGAGCATCGTGGAGGGTGCCGCAGAGAATGTCACAGCCACGGGGGTGGGGGTGAGAGCAATACCTTCCGCCAGCAGGCCCTGCATGTCTCCTCTTCCACAGGAAGTGTCTCCCACCTGGAAATGTTATACTGCCACCCACAAAAAAACATTCCTTGGATTCCGACTTCATTAATTCATTCAATTGGACATCGCTTAGTTCAGAAGGCTCTGAAACTTGGAAGGATTCCCAGAAAGGAGGATCTTTCAAGACTTTATGAGGGTCCTAGACTCAAAGCATTTGATAATTGTGCAGAGGCAGGCTGCTGGTGAGATGGTCTGTCCCCTGCTTGACTGGACAGTTGCCAGCGGGTTTTGGAGGCGTTGACTCTGCTCAGCCCTCAGTGACTGCTGGATGAGACCGTCTGCAGGGCCAACGTAAGCACTTCCTCGAATAAGCATAGTCAGAACGCAATCCGGATTCTGAAAACCCACAGCTAGACGGGAGACATGTTTCTTGTCATAGCTCCAGCATCTTCCACCTGAGCTGGCACCTGTATATTTGGTCCCTAAATCTTTGGTGGAAGGAACGAATACAGTGAGTGCCATCCTCTGCATGAAGCATCTACTTGCAGGACGTAAAGATGACAAGATACCATTGCTACCCTCCAAATGCCAAGGGCCCAGCTCTGAATGTCCACATAAATAAATACCCGCCTTGGCCAAGGCACCCAGGGTGAAGATTCCAGCAACATCTCCTACTCTCAGGACGGATACTGAGCTGACACTTCAGATTCATCACTGTCCACCCGAAATGTTCTCCACCTGCTTGGTGGATGACACCAGCTTTCTCTGGCCATCTCCCATCCAAATCTGAGTCATCTCTGAGTCTTGCACTTCCCCTCCCTCCACCCCCACGGCCAAGTCCTATTGACTCTGCCTCCCCACCCCTCCACCAAGTCCCTCAGGGCTGTTCTTGCCCATGGTCGCTGCATGTCCGTGGTTCCATCCCCAGGTGACCTCAATTCCTCACCATCCTCCTGCTGCTCATCTCTTTCCACACCAAGTATGCTCTGAATGGATACCAGGATGCTTCAATACCTTTAGTGGCTTCTCATTCCATGCAGCCAGAGCCCCAACACTTCAGCAAGGCTTTCCGGGCCCCTGTAAGCTGGTGCCAATGAACTTTCCCATTTGTATTCCACTCTCTGCCATCACCCCCATGTAGCTCGGGATCCAGGCACAAGAGACCACAGGCCCTTTTCCAGACACCCTTCTCCCAGTCTCCTCTGGGTCTCCGTCACATGGTCACGGGTCCCAGCTGAAAGCCCATCTCCTTAGGAAGCCCTCCCCTTTCTATAAATCAAAAGAGCACTCTCCGGAATGCCGTGCCACTCTGCTTGTCCCCTCTAAAGTAGTTTTGTCACTGTCCACCATGTGTCATACTTACACTTGCACAGACTGAAAGCTTTGTGAGGGCAGGAACCTGATCTGCCAGCCTGCTAGATGGGCCCTGGTGTTCTATCACTGTGTATGAGCGGGAGCAAAGAATGGCAGGTGTCATTATTCTTCTAATGTATGTATTTTGGGGGCCCATGCCTGCAGGACACGGTCTACCTTTCTTACCCCAGGCTGCTAGTTTATAGATATTAACCTTTCTTCCCTAGTCTATACTCTCAGAGCACCATGCTCATTCCTCTCCATGGCAATGGCTATAACTTGACCTTGCTTTTTAGTTAGCCGCACACATGCCTGTCCCCTACACTGTCCCATAGCTTCACATTCAAAGACCTAGATAAAAACCACCTTCTAACCTTTCCATACCAACAAACCTGGTCCTGATCTGTGAACCAGATTTAGCTCTGGAGTGGGGCCTTTCTAGGTGATTCTGAGATGCACCCCAGTTAGGTACCCTTGGCTATAACTCCTTAAGTTCCAGTGTCTTCCACAGTCCCCAGAGTGGGACTTTGCACACAGGAAGCACCAAATATATGCTTGTTGAATAAAGTAGCTACTAAAAACAGCCCTGGGCGGGAGCATAGAGAGCACATAAAGTATTCACCTCTTCAGATCTGGCTGCAGGTTCAATGATTTATTTGCAATTGGGTGGCCAGCCTTGGAGGCATTTTACCTAGCTGGGGAAGATTGAGGGTCTAGTTGTAAGAATTAGGCCAGTAACACCTGCTGGAGATGACTGTGTGGTGCACCAGCGAAGGGATAAAGCTCTCATGGGCTGGCCAGCTAGTAGGTGGGGACATCACTCACCAGGGACAGAAGAAATAGCAAAAGGAAAGAGGCAATGAGTTAGTTGTGGCTCAGAGTTAAGCCTACAGCTTTCTGATCAGGGTAATCGTTCAGTACCCCCTTCAAACTAAAACTATTAAAGTTTTGTTTGACCTTTAGTCAGAGGACAGGCTGAGCCCTGGGAGGAGAAAGGTAGAGAATTCCAGCTCACATCCCCCGAAGCCAACGCAGTGTGGTCCTAATGCCACTCTTCCTAGAAGGCAGCTTGGGGGGCCTTCACTACAGATGCTCGCTTCATTTGCTCCTCACTCCATCCCATCCCTTCACCTCTGAAGATGGTCATCTAAGTGTTTCTTCAGACACATTCAGCTGTACCCCTGAGAGCACTTCCCTAAATACATCATGTTGATCTCCTTACCTTTCTCATGATGTTTTGTCATCCCCAAGGGTGAAGAGTAGAGCGTCTTCCCCTAATTTAGTTCCTTGGGAATCTGAGGCAAGAGGCAGGGAGAAACAGAGATGAGATGGGAAGACACCCAATCAGAAAAGGAGCCTATGGGCAACTGTGCTGAAAACTATAGTCAGAGCACTGCACACCAGTGGCCATGCTCTACATATCTTGACCACATGCTCCGTTTGCCGCAACCTGCTGCTCTCCCCTCCCTCTACCCACTGAACCACAGCTACACTCTTGTGGGCCCGTCCCTCCCCCTCTAAGTCAATAAATGGTGCCTTGGACACAGGGCTGCAGACGTCCTGCTGTTCCGGGAGCATAAAGAATCCACAGTGATTCCGAGGGAAGATGTCTTCACAGCATTTCCACCGCCCCACTTTCTCAGACAAAATCCAGAAGGGAGGAACCTTGCTGGTCTCTGAATAGGAACTCCAAGCCCAGGGTAACCCCAGACCTCAGATGACCCCAACCAGAATGGAAGTTCTTCAAGGGCACAAGCCACATGTTGCAGATCTAGAACCTCCCTCAGTGCCCAGCAATGTCTATGACTGGAGTTAAGTTGATGGGAGACAATCTTTCTGGCTTTTTTCTACTTCTGTTTTTTTCTTTCCGCACTTGCTTACATAACACCTGGTCACCACCGGGCACTGCCCAGTGGCTTCCCATGAGCTCTTCCCTATGGCCCATCAGCCCAGACATTGCCTGGTTTGCTGAACTGACAGCTTTCATTTGTAAAACCTACCTGAGATAGGACAAAGAGGCCCATGAATCTGGAAAGACCAGCAGAAGAGATCCCAAAGATGATTATCTGAGAAGGCTCTGGGGATGTGAGCCTTGGACCCACACCCCAAATCTAAAGTCCTTTACTGAAGCACTGTGACCTTGGGCTTCTCAGACCCTCAGCATCCTCATCTGCAAAACTGTACAAATGCCAACAACACAAAGACAGACTATTCACACAACGGAGGTGCACATGAGGTCATATGCGTAAAAGTACTTGCTTTGCCAATGATTCAGCCCCAAATAAGAATTATGACTGTAATCAGCTCATAAAGACAAAAAGCATCATTGTATCATATGCACAAATAAAAAATTAGCATCTATGGACTCATCCCTGGCTGTGTTCCCCTCATTTCTACTTAGGTCCTTCTGTAAGATTCTAGAAGTTCTCTGCGTGTGGAGGATCTAGCTTAGGATTCAGGGTGAAGGGAGGGATACAGGGAGACGATTGGAGGTAAAGTGTGGAACAAGCCTTGTGTGGGTCAGGGTGGTGGAAAATTTGCTCTATTTAGGCCTTAGGCAAAATTGTCCAGGAGGCCAAGTGTGTCTGGAGTGCTCCATGGCTGTTTTTTGTCCCTGTCTCTCCCCTGGGCTGTCTTCAAGTCCAAGTTTGGGTTTTCTTTGTTTTTTGTTTTTGTTTTTGTTTTTTCCTATTTCATGACCCACTGTGTTCGAACAAGGACTTTTCAGAGATTAGCCCTCCAATCAGGAATGCTATGCTTCCTGCTGGGAATTTGCAGTCTCCTGAAAATTTGGTGGGAGATACTTTGCAGGTTTGGGGGACGTTTGGGAAGGGGAAGAAGGATTATCCTGAACTACCCTCTCCACTTTGGGGCCAGTCCAGATTTTAGGTATAGAGTGGTTTTAACCGCAACCCCCCGCCGCCAACTGCCCCGCTACACATATACTCCCAGCTCCTCCACAAGAGAAATTGTGGCCAGAGCACCCAAAGGAGGACAATGAAAACCTGGTTATTTGACCTTGACCATTTCAGAAAATCAGATCTAAGCATCACTCACAGTTAGAGAGAAGACAGGCAATGGATGGGCATGGAGAACTGGGTGGTAACAAGGATTAGAGGTGGGGCTAGGGGGTAAGGGGGGTATGCAGACTTCCAGGATGATCCTGGCCACGTGTGTACAGGCCTGCTCTGTGTGAAGGCAGTGGGAAGCCCATGTTAGAGGGCGTAAGACTGCAAAGATTAACTAGCACCACTTTCAAGTTGGTCAGCCTCTGGTCATTCTTATTTGGAGAAAGACTTCTATAGGATTACTCTAGTCCCAGGAAATTGGTGGGATGACTTAATCTTCTTGACTCAGAGAAAATTACATGGTTCGATTGTCCACACAACTGGGAAGGCACACCTTAAACACGTCACCTTAAAACTATTCCAAGGCACCTTGCAATGAACTTGGGAGTCTGGGGAAGGAAGCACCCACCTGTATCTGTCCCCCTACTTGGTTACAGTTGGTTCAACAATCTGCCTCTGATTTTTTTTTCCAATAATGAGGATAATATAAGTAAAAAAAGAACAAAAACAGTGAACATTACTAATTTTTCAAAGCATCTTTATTTAAATTTTTTTCAATGTTTATTTTTGAGAAAGAGACAGAGTGTTAGTGGGGGAGGGGGGAAGGGAGAGGGGGAAACAGAATCCAAAGCAGGCTCCAGGCTCTAATCTGTCAGCACAGATCGATGCGGGGCTCAAACTCACAACCGCAAGATCATGACCTGAGCCAAAGTTGGACGCTTAATCAACTGAGTCACCTAGGCGCCCCTCAAAGCATCTTGTTTATTCAACAATGAGAGGAAACCCACAAATATTGGCCTTAATAGGAAATCACATCTACCATTCTGGCTGGATCCTCGGCAAGCCACTTCCTCTCCTTATCTATTCAATTCAACTGGAGAGATTTAAACTCAGTGATCTCTCAGATCCCTTCCTGTGATTAAAAAATGAAGTCTGTGGGTCTATCATTTCATGAGTTGCATTTCCATGACATACTTTAGTGGATACAAATCTATAGCTTCGCGCACATTATGGGTTGAACTGTGTCTTCCTCTTCCTCCCCACCAAATTCTTGTGTTCAAGTCCTAATTCCCAGTACCTCTGAATGGGACCCTATCTGGAAAGATGGTCACTGCATATGTAATTAGTTAAAGTGAAGTCATAGGGGTCAGGGCAGGCCTGTAATCCAATATGACTAGCGTCCCTATCAAAGGGGGAAATTTGGACAGAGACCCAGGCAAAGGGAGAATGCCATGTGAAGAGTGGAATTACACTATCACAAGTCAAGAACGCCAGGGAGTGCCAGCAACCAGAAGTTAGGAGAAAGCCATGGGACAGGTGTTCCCTCACAGCCTCAGAAGGGGTCAACACTGCAGACACCCTGATCGTAGACTTCTAGCTTGGAGGTCTGTTGACACCACCTGGGCCATGGGACTTTTTAAGGCAGCATGAGCTGACTAACACGGGTGCCATTTCAGAGGGTGTTCAGGGAATTCTAGCGCCTCTCAGAGCCCTTCATGGGGTCTCAGTGTCTACCTTGCCCACATAGAAGACGACTCCTGAAGGAAGACACCCACAGGAGACTGGAAAGTGACTTTTTACTGAGGTCTGGTCTCCACCAGACCCATACATTTCTACATCTCACAGCCACGCTGTGACATTTCTGTTTCCCACTTAGACCAAGGAGGGCATCAGAGCTCAGAGACGTCACAGTCCAATATTCACAGCCCCGAACATGTGGGGTCACTGCCTGAGGCAAAAGGTCACAGCTCTGAGAATATGAAGTAGGGTCACAGGCCCCAGCACGATGGGCCATGGCTCAGAGGACACAGGGGCAGGCACCTGAGTGCAAGGTATCACAGCCTTGAGAATGTGAGCTCACAGTCCTGATCAAGTGGGGGCAGGGCCCCAAGCATGTAAGGTCATGACCCCATGTCTCTGGGACCCAGTCAAGTGAGGTCACAATCCTGAGGATGTGAGATCATAGTCCTGAAAAAATGGCACTAAAATCCAACATTAAAATCTCTCTCACCCTCAATATGTCACAAAACCGTTCAGGCTGTGGTTGGAACAATGACTTTCCCTCTGCCACCGTCCCACTATTCCCTCTTCCGTTCCCAGTTTTTAACAGGGACCAGAAATCACTTCCCCACAGCTCCCACAGATTGACTGTTCATCCATCTGATCATTGACTTGTCTATACCTAATTACTTTATAAAAGATGGCTGATGACATGCCAAACCCCAAACTCAAGTAGGAAATCTATTTCCTTTCCTGTATTATCCCACCCAGCCAATGTTGAGGCCCTGGCGCCTGACTGGATACCAGTAGCTAAGTCCTGGGAAGTAGAAAGGTGTTTCTAGATTAAATGGTGGGAGCTAGGGCAGAGGAAAGGGTGGTGCAGCCATAACTAAGGAATGACAGAGCCCAGGCTTCAGTCACAGGCTGAAGTACGCCGGGGGGCTCTGTTCTCTTGTCTCGGATCCACAGGAGACATGAATGAATGCATGCTGTTCTCTTGAGCCCAGCCTCAGAATGCCTTGCAACTTACAAATAGAAAATAGAACTCAGAAAATCAGGGCAAGAGTGGGGCAGAAGTCAGGGGTGATAGTTCATTCATTAACACATACGTTTTGAGCACTGAGTTCAAATAGGTCCCTGTGTTTATTTTATTTTTTCTTTTTAGCATTTATTCATTTTTGACACACAGAAAGAGAGAGAGAGAGGAGAGATACTGTGATTGGGGGAGGGGCAGAGAGAGAGGGAGACACAGAATCCGAAGCAGGCTCCAGCCTCTGAGCTGTCACGCAGGGCCCAACTGGGACTCGAACTCACAGACAGAGATATCATGACCTGAGCTTATGTCGGATGCTCAACCGGCTGAGCCACCCACCCAGGCGCCCCGGGATAGGTCCCTGTGTTTAGAAATGAGGGGGATTTGGGAAGCCCAGCGACACATAATGCTTTTCATTTACCTCGTCCAACCTATCAAAAGTATTATCGTCTCAGCATGCAATCAATATAAAAGTAGTAATAAGCTATTCCACATTATTTTTTTCATACGAAGTCTTTGGAAGTCAGGTGTATTTTGCACCTACAGCCCAGCCCATGTACTATTCAACTCAAACGAGAAACATCTTAAGTTCTCAAAAGCCACACGGTGATAACGATGACTTGTGGACACACGAGAGCGCGAGGCCTGAAAGGCTTAACCCCGGGCGGGTGGCGCCCGCGGAGCCAGGAGATGCAGACCTCAGCGCTGCGCCGCGAGCCCGGGAGTCGTAAGTCCACGCCCCTCTGCTGTGGGGTTCGACGGGACTTGTAGGCGTTGGCCTGCGGAGCGTGCCGGGAGTTGTAGTCTGCGCCCGCCTGCGGCGGCTCTGCGTATCATGGCGGGCCACGCCGCGCTACCGCACTCTTCCGCTGGGCCCCAGAAAGTTTCGCTTCTGCCCAGCAGTGGACCCACGAGCGCGTAAGTGCCGCGGGGGGCCGGCCGGACCCTGGGGGCGCCTGGGCCGCTGTCGGCCTCAGAGCGGAGAACTTCCCTCCCGATGCGGCTTGTCACCTGTTGCCCTCACGGTCCCCGCCCATCCTGGGTCTCCCCCAGACCCAGTCCCGAGCCCTTGCTCTTGCCCTTGGCCAGCGAGCCTGGGAGGCACCTCTCGGATCGCTGCTGAAATTGACCCTGGAACCCTGGCTGTCTCTGGTGGTCAGTTGGAAAGACAGACCCCCAAACCCGGGTTCCAGGACCCCCGAAAAGGAGCCCACCATATAGGAGTCCCAGAACAGCCGTTGGATCATTTAGGCACAGGAGGACAGGTCGTGGAGTTTCTGCCTGCGTTGTCCGAGAGGCTACTGACCGTAAAAAGCGAAGTTCCGGGCTCAGCAGGGCCGGGATAGCCCAGACCTCCTTGTTTATCCCTCCCTCCCGTAAGGGGACAGTTTGTTCATCCCGGGCCATATTCGCGGCACCATCCTTTCTCTTTACCTTGTGTCCATGTTCAGGGTCTCGAAACAGCCCCCTAGTGACCTTTCCTGAAACACCTGTGGATTTGGGATTGTCTGTGGTGTGGCTGCCTGGGACTTGCTCTAGATGAGAGTCCTCGCTACTCAGAACCTAGGCTGGGGGATGTTGGAGGAGGAGGGCTGGATTTTATTTTTGTGGAAGGAAAGCGTGTGTGGTTGACACATTAACCACATGGCTCCCTATTTTGTGCACATGTGGCTTCTGATGCCCCTTGTCACTCTTCACAGCTCCCATTGGCTGCCCCCTCCAGAAAAAAAAATAGAGCACTTACTGCAGCTGCTTGTGTTGGCCACAGCCTCTGCTTGTCTTGACCACGGCAGTTTCCTCTCTGCTGAGAAATGGGTCAGGGGCTCTTTGAGGGCAGAGGATCAGGCTGTAATCTGCTCACTGCCCTCCGGCCCCTGCAAGCCTTGCGGTCTCTGCTGCAAGCTTTACACCCCTACCATCTGCCTAATGCGGCTTCCCTTGCGTGTTGGTGCCATTAAAGAGCTGTCTCGTCAAGGTTTTCTTTCAGTGGCTCCCATCGTCCACAGGTCGACCCTATCAAGTGGGCTCCACTTGACCCTCCCTTCTGTGACAGCCACTGTTCATCAGTCACTGAATGCCCTGTACCCAGTTGTGGGCCATTGTTCCTATCACCCTGGAAATCAAAGTTAATGGTCTCAGGGAAGGGACGCGGCCTTCTTTGATTCAAGGGATCTGAAAAGCCTCTTGCTTTAGGAAACTGGTTTTCTGCTTCTCTTACAAGTGTTATCTCTGTGTTGTCCTTACTTTAGTTTTTAAATTGCTTTCGGTATTTTATTAGGAAAACTGGAGCATAATCATTGAAAGAATTGTATAGTGAACATGTGCCTGCCTGTTAAAATCTACAATCAATGTTTTACTTGATTATTTTTGTAGCTGCTTTAGAGTCAGTCCCCTGGTTGTTCCTTGGGCAGTCTTTGCTCCTTGGGGCTGGTTTTGGAACAAAAGCATGAGATCAAGAGCCACATTTTTTTTTTACGTTTATTTATTTTTGAGAGACAGAACACAAGTGGGGAAGGGGCTGAGAGAGGGAGACAGAATCTGAAGCAGGTTCCAGGTTCCAAGCCATCAGCACAGAGACTGACGTGGGGCTCGAACCCACAAACTGTGAGAGCATGACCTGAGCCCAAGTCGGACACTTAACTGACTGAGCCACCCAGGCGCCCCAAGAGCCACACTTTTAACCTTTTGAGACAGGAAGACCCCCTCCCCTGCCAAGATGTTTGTGATAAGAGAAACTACCCAAAAGAGACAAGATCAGAGCATCTGGTGACTTTGACCTGTGCTGGTCTCTGAGGCTGTGGGCTTCTGTCTCCAGGACATGTAGTAGGCACCCAAGAAATGGCAGTCCCTCTCTTCCCTTGAGGGAAGAGGTTTGGCTGATGGCTGACCTGTATTTTCTGGTGATTCCAAGAACCGCTTTGGTGACTCAAAATCGGAATGTCTTTAAACATGAGGCAGAGGAAGGGTGTTGTCTAGCTGTGGTCTCATGGTGAAAATCACTGATAGGAGCTCCGCATCTGGGGCCACATTCCCTGGAGTCGCCGCCCCCCCCCCCCCGCCCCTGCCGAATGCACAGCAAGTGACCAGCCAGGGGCCTCCTGTGAGCAGGGGTGCGTGGAGTCCGGCCTGGTCAGCATCTGCTCACCTGTGTCATTGTGTTGAACCAAAGATCAGCAGTACCCTCTATTTGTGATCTTGTCAGTTTTGGGATGTTTGTTTGTTTTTTGTTTTTAAAGCTCTTGATTGGTATAAGGGCCTCTGAACAACTAACCAAATCAGTAGCGTGGGCACTGAAATGTACCCTGGGGTCTGTATCGATCCTCTCGCTGCTTGTAGACATACTGTTTGTCAGCATCATGTCCCTATAGTAAGCTTCAGCCTCAGGGCACATGGGCGGATGGCTTTTACGAGTCCAGGATGGTAGAACCGAGCTCAGTGGGGCAGGGGCGTTTCCCCCCTTTCCACATGCCACAGCGGTCAGCCTGATGGTTTTCTTGGCCACCAGTGGCCCTCCACATTCACAGAGGTCCTTCTGGCATTTGAAAGGGACCGAGCGCCTGTTTCTAGTTTGGCCGGATCCTGCTTTCAGGGATGGGGACGCGTACATCAGTGTGGTTCTCAGGGGCTCTGTGGTCTGGTTACGGTACTGTCGTCCTGCGGCTGGTTCTGGGGCCCAAGGGCAGGTCTGGCTAACCACCTCGGGAGCCCAGGGCACTGAATCCTTGACCTGGGGCAGAGAACCGAGCCTGTGGAATCCAGAAGAAAAACCAAAAGCCACCACCGACAGACGGCTGTCAGTCTGCAGGGGGGTAGGCCAGGAGGAGCATCCCTGTAAGAGGGCCTCAGTGGGCTGGACAGCTGAACCGGAAGTGGCAGACTCACAAGGAGCCTGAAGGCATTTCCTCAGGCTGAACCTGTAGCCCATTGGGCTTCTTCCAGGGCACCTGAAGCCTTGGTCAAGAGCAGAGAGGGGGCCCTTGGAAGCCTCAACCAAAGGTAGCCACTGGAAACATCTGCTCATCTTCCCTACCTCCTCCTTGAGGACAGTAAAGGGTAACCTCCCCACATTGCACATGGGGGAAAAAGCCCACACAATAAAAACAGGAAAAAAAAACCCCAAAACCCACAAATTCCACATACGAGATAGGAAAAGGTCAAATGACTTCCCCTGGACAGACAGATGTGCTAAAATTGCCTGAAAAGAGTTTGGTGAGCTAAACATAGCACAGTCTCACCCAACGTGGAATGATCTTTATCGCATTATCCATTGTACAGTAGGGAATGGAAAGCTCACCTGGACTAGTCTGATTCTAAAATCTGAGTAGGGTCCAGACTGGCAAGCCTCAGGGACACCTGGTAAAAGAAAAGACAGTTTTCTTGCCCAGCGCCAGGCTCCGGCCTCAGAGCCATCGTGGGTCCCGCTTGCCCTTCCTGTCCACCAGCATAGCCCCGCCCCTGGGCTCTGTGCACCCGGGATGCTCCGCTTATCATCCCGACACGGCCCTGTGCTCAGACCCACCAATAACCCCCGCTTGCCCCGGGAGCGTTCGGGTTGGATGCAGAGAGGAAAGGGCCTTGGGTGGGCTGGGTGAGTGGGAGTGGTGGCTATAATGGCAGTGGCTATCCGTGTCCAGAAAGGGTGAAAGAAGCTTTTGGATAAGGCTGCCTCAGGCCAGAGCCGCGGGGCACGCTTCCTCCCATGGACACACTTAATCCAGCCAGTCCCGAGTTACATTCTTCCTGTCCTTCTCGGGATAATACTGCCCTAATATTTCCCCAATAATGGTGGTGTAACGTCCGTAGTTACAAAATGATTTTTTTTAACACATTATTTTAGTCAACAGAAAAGTAACTTATGTCCAGTAAAGGAAAATTGAAAAGTCAGAGAAATCGAATGTTTCGAAAATTTACTCACGTTTCCTTCCTGCTGTTGAGGGATAAATCTCATTGTTTACCAGTTGGTGCATTTTGATGCCTAAGGTTCAGTTTGGTCTGTGGAACAAGAGATTATGTGTCTGGTTGTCCCCAAGGAGGGTGTTGGGGGTTGGCCCGGGACAGTGCTGGGGAAACGTGGGGAAATTACCATACTGGAGAATGGCCACAAATGTGGAAGAAAGTCCGTGGGGCCTTAGAATCCCGAACAGTGTAGACACTGGGGCCTCCCGTGTTCACCTGTGTTCATCACACACAGCACGCGTCAGGCCTCCAGTGATCTCTTGTCGGCCTATAAGCTTAGTAGGAGCTTTGCACCTCTGGAGTGGGCGTTCCTGGAAGGCCAGGGCCCACTGGCCTTGTCCCCGGCTGTGGCCACAGCTCCCGGGTCAGGCCTGCCCCTCACCAGGGGTGCCCAACAAATACCTCCAGCCTGGCAGGCAGTTTGTTAACGCATACGGGTTACGTGTTGTCTTCATCGAGGCTATGTTTAGTGGCTAAACCCTGTTCTAGCAGAGATTCTCTTCATCATAGTCCGACATTGGCTGGGCTCGCCCCCTTGGTACTCTGGTCAGGATTGTCCCCCCTCCCCCCCAACCTGCTACCGAGCATAGGGTTTTGGAGCTCTGCGATTTTCTCCATCTGCATGGGGTTTGTGCTCCAGCTGGGCTCTCAGATGCTCTCGAGGCTGTTCCAGAGGCTGCCCAGAGCTTCGCGTGTGCCTTCGCCACCTCCAGGGTGTTTTCTCTGGGCTTTTCCGTCTGTCTGTCCGCCCCAGGTATGGACGCGCGGCCCCTGCCAGAGTGGCCTCCCTGCCACCTTCCCAAAAGAGAAGGTCAGGTGTCCCCAGGCCCGGAGGCCGCCCCTCACATCCACAGGCCTTTGGACTTCCCAGGTCAGTGGGCCAGAATCGGGGCCTGTTTTGTGTGTGTCCCAGAGGCAGTGACCGAGAAACCTGGAACTCTAGTCGTTGGGAGCGCAAGGGC